GGCAACATGGTGAAACTCCATCTCTACTTTAAAAAAAAAAAAAAAAAATTCTGGGGTAATTAAAACTTTTAGGTAAATAATAGTTACAGGTCAGTAGCTATCCATTTTGTAGGCACTACCAACAGGGTACACAGAAAACTTCAAAAATTAGTTTAGCATGTTGGTGGGTGCCTATAATCCCAGCTACTCGGGAGGCTAAGGCAGGACATTAGCTTGAACCCAGGAGACGGAGGTTGCAGTGAGCCAAGATCGTGCCACTGCAATCCAGCCTGGGCGACAGAGCAAGACTCCATCTCAAAAATAAATAAATAAATAAATAAATAGTTTAAAAAAAAAAAAAAAAAGAATATACTAAAAAGCTGGGTGTGGTGGCTCGTACTTGTAACCCCAGCACTTTGGGAGGCTGAGGCAGGCAGATTGCTTGAGCCCAGGAGTTTGAGACCAGTCTGGGTAACATGGTAAAACCCTGTCTTTACAAAAAATATCAAAATTAGCTAGGTGTGGTGGCATGTACCTGTAGTCCCAGCTACCAGGGAGGTTAAGGAGGGAGGATCCCTTGTGTCTGGGAGGTGCAGGCTGCAGTGAGCTGTGATGGCACCATTGCACTCCAGCCTGAGTGACAGGGCCAGACCCTGTCTCAAACAAACAAACAAAAAACCAAAAAGAAAATGCTAATAGCATGTCTCCCTTACAAATCTGCAAGGTAAGAAAAACAATCAAAACATCTACCTTAGAAATTAAAAACCAAGTAATTTAAAACATTGAATAGATTAAACACCTATGAATTTATCACTATATGAGACAGTGAAGGTAGCGCAGGGAGGAAGATAACACTCATCTGCTACCCCTGGAGAGATAATATCAGCTCCAATATGTATTACCAATACCAGTGCAACACCAATACATGAGACCAACTTCTTACCCTGAAAATTGGCAATTAATATATCAAGTATTTATCCTGCCTTTTCACAAGAGACTGTAATTCACCCCCAGTTTATAAGAAAAACTTCTGCACGAAAAGAATGCCAAAAGGAAGGACATATGTAGAAGGAAAGTAGTATGAGAAAATCACCCAGAATCTCCTGTGTAATAACTGATTTAGGCAAAGACAATCACAGGTGGCTAAAACCATTATGTGAAAGACTGTTAGGAAACCAAGACAGTCACACAGTGCTAAAGTGTCTCCTCACTGACTACTTGCTAGTTGTAAAGAGGGAAGATTACTTTATGTTGGAGAGTGGGCATCACCAGCAGTGGCGACAACCTGACATCATGAGTCTCCTAACGGGAGGCTCTATAAAGTACTTGTCTGTCATCAACCATAAAATCTTCTAATAAAAATGTTCTGCATAAATACAATCAAGCCTCCAGACCTCATTTACAAATCAGAAGAACTGCAGAGGATGCATAATCCCTGAATAATCCTGGACTGAAGACCTGAGCTAAAAGGCCATTTTGGGAAAACAGGGAAATCTGAATATGGACTGAATATTAGGTGACATAAGAAAATTATTTTTAATTTTCTTAACTGTGATAATGGTATTACGATTATGTATATATATGAAAGGCCCCTATTTTTATTAATAGGAGTTACATGTTGAAGTATTCAGGAATGAAGTATCATGATATCAAAGTCTTAAGTTCAAATGGGTCATCAAAAAATATAGATTTAATCAAAGAGATAATGTAAATATGACAAAATGTTAACTGCTGAGTCTAGGTGGTATGTATATGGGCCATCAGTATAGTTTTTTTTTCTTCAACTTTTCTGTACATTTGAATCATTTTGTAAGTTGAGCAAAAACAAAAATTACTTTAAAAGGAAAAATAATTACATAACAGTCATGTTTTAGGAAGTAACAAATATATTTCTTGACTGGAATACTGCTTGATTTTTTGAATAAGAATATCAGTGAATTCACTATTAAATAGGAAATTTTCAGGTGAATGGAAAAATTCAAAGGAAGCTTGAGGTAGAAGTAAGAACTACAAAGAGAAAAAAGCTTCTAAAGAGAAAAACACAGGAAACCAACACTGGAGAAAATTAAGATGGCAATATTGCAAAGAAGGAAAACAGAATACTTCGTCATCAGTTTTATCTTTGAGATTAACAACTAAATTATATTTATTTATAATCTATAATAATAATAAATATATCTTTCCAACATAAACTCTTATTTCATGTTCTAATTTTAAAATGCTCTTTTGTACTTTAGATACAAGTTATATACAATGGAAGAGATAATTGAGTCACCAGTCCTCAAGGTCAAATGTAGCTCACATTGTCTTTAAGTACAAGGCTAAATCTATACAAATTACTAAATTAATAATTTTCCTGTGATATGTAATGGCCAATTGTGGAAGAAACACTGGAATTTGTAAGTCTGCTGATTTCAGTCATCTTAACAATGACACTGATTGACTACAAAATCTCATTAGTCACCTGGCCATCAGCCTTTATTACCACAAGGAAAAGTAAATCAATTAAAAAAGGTCAATTCAGTCAGGCCATATAAACATTGTCACCACTTTTCTGGAATTAGATCCTTGTCATCAGACTGAAAATACAGACACACTGATTACAATAACACAGTTTTATTATAAATGTTCTCTTAAATTTAAATCATAAAGTTTCCACACATGTCTAAGCAATCGCCTATAAGTCTACTGTGGCTTCATGCTCAGAACCTCATTTTACAACTACTTTTTAACTTTCAAAATTGATTTACAGTGATATGAAGAGAGGAAAAAGTCTAATTCGGCCTTCCAAATCTAGTCTAGCAGTATGCCTATGAGGAAATAGCAAAAACAGTCCATGAATTTTTATCTATTTTTTCCTACTCATTAGGAAAAGGGTGAGCCATATAATCTTCCTTACTAGTTGGAAAGTCCTATCTGATCTCTAAGTCTATTTCTTCACTTGTAAAACAAATACTGTACCTATAAAACAGGGTTGCCATACCTGCTTTGCCTATCTTAAAGGGCTGAGATAAGGCGAGTTGAATTCCTTCAAGACTGTCTTCAAATAAAACAAATGACTTTAAAAATATCATTTGTTTAGATTACATTTTAATTTATTTTATGACTGAATATTATATGGTATAAAATATAAGAAAAAAACTAGGATTTCATTTTTACTCCTCAGCTATTTAGTAAAAGCCAAATCAGACATAATCATATACATAGAACTTTTACCAAAATTATTTAAGCTGAATCTAGTGAAATAATTAGTTACATATAGATTTGGAGAAATTCTAAGAAGAAAACTGGCCTGGACTTTTAAAAAAAGTCAGTGTAATGAAAGGCATAAATAAATAAAGGCAGAAGGTGAAGGGCACAATTTAGATGAAAGGAATCCAAGGAAATGCTGACCAGATGCAGTACATGATCCTTGATGAGGTCCTGGATCAAACAATAAAGAAAAATTAGAAAGGATATTGTGGGGACAATTAGAGCAATTTCTTTTGTATATTAGTTAATAAGTATCAACCATAAACTTTTTGAGCATCACAATACTATTATGGCTATGAAAAAGTGTCCTTGGTTTTAGGAGAAATATGCTAACATACTCAGAGAAGAAATGTTGTTATTTGCAACTGATTTTAAAATGGTTCCGAAAAAAATTTTAACTAGAGAGAAAACAAATGTGGCAAAATGTTAACAACAGCTGAAGTGTCTAGATGAATGGTATACAGGTGTTCATTATTCTGTTTCAGTTTTTCCATATGAAATTTTCAAAAGACTAAAGTGAGCAGGTCAATTTTTCATTAATAAAATTATATATTTCAAAAACCTAATTTTCTAAGCCAAAATAGATTCATTATAATACTGAGGTATTATGTCCTTATTTGTTTTGTCAAAACAAAACAGTTTAAACAAAACAGTTAAATTAGGTGAATTTATATAATAAAAGGTCTCACTAAAAGACTTCCTGTAGGTAAAAAGCAATGTAATTTCTAAAAGCAGAATAGAAATAGACAAAAATGTTATTATTGGAAAAGATCATGAAACTAAACTCAAGTCTCTATAGATTAGTAGACTGGTACCCACGGCTGTTCAGGAATACAGCTATTATATAAAAGGACACACAACTTTACATTCTTCTTTAAAGGATAATTTCAAAGATAAGGAGAACAAATGTGATGCCTCATGTTTTATCACACACTTCACGCCAAACACAAGCAAAGTAGAACAACTAGAAACAATTAGGGGCAGCCTAGAGGCAAAAACCATATTTCGGTCTAGAAATGCAATTATTCTAGAGTACGAATGCTCTAAAAAATAAGGAAAGAAAAATCCTCTAATCAACGCTAGACTTGAATAATAGACAAAGCTAAATTTAAGACCGTGAAGTAGAAGAAACTAAGTCTGCGTTATACTGAAAAGTTGTCCTATAGGATTCTAGATGAAAAAACTGTAGCTAGATTTCAATAGTCTCCTTTGTATCAAACCACTATACATATACTTGACAAATTCTCTAGGTGGTGTGGTACTACTTTTTAAATGCAGTATAAGCACTCAACTATTCTAAATGGACTGGCAGGCTTTTCTATTCTGACAGAAGATGGGACAATTGCCCATCAATCCCATAAGAAATCAGGAAGTATAGTCAAGAATGTCTTTTTATGGCTTCATTTGAATACTAACTAGAAAAAGCATCACTATAACATGAGCTTAAACAATTAAACAATTTATGTTTAATCTCTTAAATAAATTCATAAAAAATTTAAATATACCGTTAATGCGGAGTTACATTCTCTGCTTTAAAACCTATTTACTGGTATAGATGTACATTACTATGTTTTCTTAGGAAATATACATTTTCTTATAACAGATAAGCTCTAACAGAAAAAAAGAAACAGATTAAATCATATTTATGAAGTAATCTGTTTTTACCACTGCTTCTCTTTTATTTATAAGACAACAACAATGTAAACTGCACATACAAAAACAAACTTCCTAAGATGTATCTTTTTTTCTAAAAATAGCATTTCCTTTACCTTGTTAATGGGTACTACCAAAGCTGGTTCCACTTTAGCTTCAATTTCCTCTGGACTGTAAAAACAATAGAGTTTACCTCCTCGCAAAACACAATACAGCCTTCTCCAACTAATCAGACCTTTTACCATTTGCTGGAAAAAAAAAAAATCAAGAGACTATCAATTTTAAGTTATCACTTTAAATTCATCAAAATACTTATCAAAGTTAAATTATTTAGAATTTTTAAAATGTGATAGAATTATCCATTAATTTGATATACAAAAGGTTAATTGCCCCAAATCCAAGAGTATGTTAATATCAGAGAAGAAAAGTTTGGAATTCTTAAAGGCATTAAATGAAATGGAGGCAACAAACCACCACTTAACTTTTACACACATAAAAGCATAGATCAATGGTGTTTTAGAAAATCTAGTTGATTAAAAATTAGTGCTTAGAATTCTATGGCAATTCATCAAATGACTCAGGAAAATTATAAAAACAATTCTATATATTCAAAATATTATTTTCCCTTACTGTTCTCAGAGCATCGGAAAATGTCAACTACCCTGTTAGAATGCAAATTTTCTTTCCTCCTAATGGAATCTTTTAGAAAAAGCTATTGATTCATTGAAGTTCACAATTAATTATTTACTGAATATAAATAACTATGGTTATAAATAAATCAGGAGTAGGTGGCACAGAGGCAGCTCTGGAAGCTCAGAGTCCTAAACCGTGCCAAACGCTGTCTGCCAGAAAGACCTTTATGCGAAAGGTGTTGAGCAGACCTCATCAGTTTCCACAAGGAGCCCTCTGTTGCTGATTATCCTGTTGCTGCTATTAATGAAGCAGAGGAGCATGGAGAGGTAGCACCTTAGCCATCAACATCGCAGTAGATCCCTCCCTGCTTTGTCATTCTTTTCACCCCACATCCCCTACCATTTATATCTGATAACATTTAGAAAATTGACATTTAAAAAAAGACTTAAAAAATATTTCTCAGTATCAGAAGGTGAAACAACCGCCAGTATATTAAGATTTAAAGTAGAGCTACAATTGTTGTAGGATATTTAAAGTCCTCTAACCTGCTGATTAAGAAATCCTGCAAATGCATCCTCAGCCATACAAGCTGGCTGGGCAACTAGTCGGCAGCACATGTTGCCATATAGGGGAAGCCAAAATGAAGACTCCTCTATTTAAAGGAGAAAGAAAAAAAAATCAAGTTATAAATATAAGTTTATTTAAGGTCATCATACATTTTGATTTTTCTCTTTTTACAATTTTGTTTTGCTTTGTACAGAACATATTTTATAATTACTTTTATGTAAAGATTCAGCCTACCCAAATACCAGTGCCATATTTAGTGAGAAAATCAAATACGAGAATAGAAAGGACAGGATAATATTATAACTGATAGTTTACAGCATGCTACCATCTGAATAAATATGAACTCTTTAGTCTCTTGTTTGATTTTAATTATTCAATGAAAGTTGTTCAGAGAATGTGATCTTATTTAATATAAAAACATTCTGATAAAGTAATTTATGTTTGTCAAATTCTAATTTTTGCTCTAATTTTCATTATAATAATTAGAAAGGTGATCCTCCGAATGAAACATTATTTCACTTTGCGAGGCCAAGGCAAGGCGGATCACTTGAGGTCAGGAGTGAGATCAGCCTGGCCAATATGGTGAAACCCCATCTCTACTAAAAATACAAAAATTAGCTGGGCATGGTGGTACATGCTTGTAGTCCCAGCTGCTTGGGAGGCTGAGGCAGAAGAATCGCTTGAGCCCGGGAGGCAGAGGTTGCAGTAAGCTCAGACTGTGCCACTGCACTCCAGCCTGGGCAACAGAGCAAGACTCCATCTCAAAAACAAAGCAAAACAAAAACAAAAAACATTATTTTAGAGAACTTAAGATAACTTAATCAACATTTTTGACCCCTCCTCCTCCCCTTCTCTTGCTGAACAATTCAGTCATAAGCCATTAGGGAGAGACCCCAACATAAACATCTGTGCCAAGACTGGAGAAGGAGCTGTGGTGTGCTAGAAAGGGATGATGGAGTCTGGGTGCAGTGGCTCAAGCCTGTAATCCCAGCACTTTGGGAGGCCGAGACGGGCGGATCACGAGGTCAGGAGATCGACACCATCCTGGTTAACACGGTGAAACCCCGTCTCTACTAAAAAATACAAAAAACTAGCCGGGCGAGGTGGCGGGCGCCTGTAGTCCCAGCTACTCGGGAGG